ATTTTGGCCGCAACGGAATTTATGTGCCTGCAAGATTCGCCGAGCCGCCCTACGGACTGGAGTTTTACCGCAGCCTTTGGTTCAACGAGTCAGATGCTGAGTGTCCGTGGATCGCGCGGTCACCGATAACGAGAGCAGTTACCGATGATCACGTCCTTGCCGATTGCGCGGTCGACTGTGCAAGACTGTTCGCTCTGCCTTGATCACGCGATCTGGCTATTGATCATCTTTGCAGCCATTGTGTTCGGGTCCCTGATTGGGTCGCGCGAAGAGGGCATGCGATCGGACAGTGATTGGCCAGGCACTCGAGGTCAAATGCTGCAAGCCGGCTTCTTGTCGACACGGTCCAGAGGAGTTCCTACACCGTGAACTGCTCGTCGAGCACCGCTTGTCATTGTTGCCCGATTCTTGACGCTTCGCTTATCCCCAATTGCCCGTCCAGAAACTATGCCTGTCGAGTTGTCGTGAGAAGGAATTCGGTCGTTTTCGAAACCCTTTCAAGGCTTCCCTAAGGACTTCTGCTGAGCCTTTGAGACCCTCTTGGGGCGATGCTGGAGACCATCAGCCAAACAGGGGGTCCTGACTGAGCCTCGCCTTTGAGCTATCACATGCTGTCCCTTGTGGCCCTCTTAGGACTTGTTGCCATCTTGGTGCCTCAGATGCCCATCGCAGGCCGAAGTACGATAAGGCGAACATTATCGACACATTTCAGTCGCATCCTTTGGAGGCTCGGGGGCGCCCTCGTAACTGGTCATCTTGGGGCCTTCTCGAGGCCATCTTAGGCCTACTTGGGGCATTCGCGCAGTCTTGGAGGCAGTCTGGGGCGATCTGGGGCCATCTTGGAGCCAGCTCGGGCCATCTTGGACACCGACGACCCGCGACCAGTCCAAACCCCCAGGGGAGGACTTGCCTTGCCATAGCGGGCCAATACCTGCAGCGCCGGCGATCGTAAGGCCACGGTGGGTGGGTGGGGTGCCCATACCGCTACCCTTCCCTCGTTTTCTCTTTTCTGGGCCTCCTGGGAGGCCTTCGTCGCCACTGCTGGATTCTGGTCAGAACGCACCCCGGGAGATGTCCAGGGAGTAGCGGTATCGGTACCTTTTGTTTTTTTTTGTCTCTCCAGTATACCCATCCAAGAAGGGGAAGAAGTTGTTTTTGGAAGAGCTGATCCAGCTTCGCCCAGAGGGCCTGTGAGATTTTGCCCGAGTCGTGCGACGTATGGTGTCCAACCGTCGCTGACCAGAGTGAAATGGTAGACTTTGCACCACTCCCAGTCCTGAAGCAGAGGGCTTTTTCCAATGGAATTCTGGAGTCGATCATTGAGAACAACAACTTCTCTATGGGTATTCGCTACTTCGAGGGTTTGTCAGACATTGAGTACAGAGTAGAGATTGAGAAACTCATGGACTCGCCTGTGGCGTTTTTTCACTGGGTTCCTTCACTGACAGTCTTGCATCTAGATGTCAAGCGCGTGCTCTTGCCACAAGAAGAATGGTGTGGTAACACAGTCAATCGAGGTGATGGACTCAGCAGCTGGAGATGCGACTTCATGCCCGAACACCTTGTTAAGATAGCCTCTGCGAACTTGGAACGTGACGCGCCTTTACTTGTGAATCTCATCCAGTCCTTAAGGGTTAGTCATGAGGAGAACTTCGGCGACTTGTTGAAACGTGGTGAGATTCCGAGAGGCAATCTCAAAAATACTGGTATATTGAGACTGCTCGCTGAGTTGGAGTCTCTGAGCGCACAGCGTCACGGTGTGGAACGAACAATCTTAGTGGAAGAAGTGGCCTGCGAATGGCTGAAGAGCAATCGCCATATTTGGAAATCTTGGGTCTCCCGTGAGATTCCTGACTGGGCTGATATGAGTAATATTCGGACATTTCTCATGGTGTTGGTTGTCAGCGTTACCAGTTTGTTCTTCGTTGTGGCGGTGTGGGAGCGCTGTTGGCTTGGAACTGGCATGGTGGGGAAAACTTGCTGGGACTCGTGCAACTGCTGGATCCACCAAAGAAGGCTGACCGATCTTCCAGAGCAGGAGAGCGTTCGCTGGGGTGGCAAGAGCTTGCAGGAGCGCATTCAGGAGAAGCGCTCAGGTCTTCTACTGCGTTCGGGCAAGGACAGTGCATCAGATTCGCGCAGAGCCGTTTTCACAGACGTGCGGTCCTCGTCGCGGCAGCAGGCCTGCGTCCTTCGTCCCCCGGTGTCGGCCGGCGCCGTCGACTTTCGGTCGCCAGAGTGGAAGGTGCTTCCGCGTGGTGGCCAGGCCATGATCTGGGTGGACCGCACTGGTTGCTTAGATGGCAAGGTCGTCGTGCACGTCCACGCGCACGCGGGCGATGCAAAGGCTGGGGTGCATTACGATTTTCCGGAGGAGGGCTTCGACTGCGTCTTCGAGCCTGGACAGAGCACTGCGGGCATCCCCGTGGAGGCGTTCTTTGTACCTACCATCGGCCCCGACTACGCGGACCAGCGCTTATTCTACTTGGAGTTGACCCACGTCGTGTCTGGCAACGCCGTGCTTGCGCTGCCAGGTGCTGTGGCCCACATCCGGATAGCAAGCACGGGACAGTTTCTTGGAGATGACGTGGAGAGTTTCAATCCGCGCAGACTGGTGCGCCGGTGGATCTCCGTCCTCATTGCTGAGAATAGGTGGAGCTTCTGCAGGGCCACAACGTGCTCCATATGGGAAAGTTTCCATTATGTCTTCGTGAAAACGCTCAGCTTGCAGGTGCTTGTAGATTTTGTATTGGGGCGGGAGTTATACTGGATGGCGCCTTGCGTAATAGTTTTATATATTTTGTCAACGCTTATTCTGCGTTGGGCTCAGCATGCCTTCATCATTGTGAGCCGGCAAGGGCCCATAACAGCGAATCTCCGTGGCATGGTCTACAAAAAGTTTTGGAGGCTCGCCATGCATCAGCACTTTAGAGAGGCCGAGCAGCATGCGAAGTGGATCACCTCCCTAGTGCGTGTGAAAGAGGTTACGGATGCGTGGCTGACTGTGTTCGCCATTATCCGGAACGTTGCGGCAATCGTGTTCAGCGCCGCTGTTTTGATGATCGTCACTACACAGTGGGGCACAGAGACTTTGGACAGACCGCGATTGTTGGCTTTGGCATGCTTGTTCGTCTTAGAGGTGGTAGCTTTTTTATTCATCTTCTGGACGCATCGGGCACAACATCAGAGCGATTTGGTGGAGCAGGGGGAGATGCGGCTGGACACCCTCGTCGAGCAGTTTGTGTGGACGCTGAGGAGCTGGCCGATCATCACCGAGCAACGCCCTCACATGCACAGGGTGGAGGCGGTGCTGGAAGAGTTCATGGACACCAACGCGGAATGTCGCGACTTTGTGAGGCGGGGTATCTTCCGCAGACGGCAGCTGTGCACCGCCGCAATTTGCCTGGCCATCTTCGTCCCATACCCTAGGGTGCTGCATAGACCCTCCCAGCCTTCTTCCCGGGCCAGGGGGTTCCGTGCACCACCCCAGGGTGCAAGTCTACGTTGTGACTCACGGAGCTAGGAAAAGCCCGCCTCGTGTCTCGTGCAGCTTTCAAGCCTGCTCTGACTCGTGTTTCATTGTGCTTCGTCGTCGCCCCGAGGCTGTGGTCGTTCTGGACAAACTCGGCCCACCTGGTCCTGGCCAGGAGGGCGTGCACGCCGTGCGGGGGCCCGGGGTCCCCTTGGCCCGGCGTGGCGGTGGTGGTGCAGTGGTGCCCTCTGCGGACATCCTGACCGGTCTGACGTCGTCGTGGATAGCCGAGTATTTCACCTGCGCGTTCTCGATATTGAATCGCTTCGCTCATTCCGCAGGCCCATCTTGTATGAGTGTTGCTATATGTTGGCGTGCTCGTGGTGAGCGAGGAGGAGGAGGAGTAGGAGGAGGAGGGGGAGGAGGGGAGGATGAGGGTGAGGAGGAGGCCTCTCGATGGCTCCTTGTGGCATTTGTGGGGTCTCTTGGGAGGGCTCTGGGGGGCATCTCGGAGAGCTCATGGATGCTTCTTGCTTTCTCTTCTGAGAGCACCCGGGAGCTTCTGGGGGGGAGTAGTTGTGACCCTCTTGGGAGCCCTTGGAGTCTTTCTTGGGAGGCCTTGGGAGCCGCTTGAGAGTCTCTTGGAGTTTCCTGGAGGCGTCGTGGAGCCCCTTGGGCGCCTCTTCGGGAGCTCTTGGGGGCCTTTGGGGATCTCCTGGGAGAGTCTGGCTCGAAACGTCCAGAGCTCCGGGGAGCTTCTTGGGAGCTCCTGGGGGCCTCTTGGGAAGCTTTCCGAGGCGGTCTTGGAGGGCTCTTGGGCCTTGTGGGACCGTCTTGCGGCCCTCTTGAGCTGCTTTCAGGCCCTATTGGAGGTCTCCTGGGCCGTCTTGGATCGATGTCGGAGGCTGGGCTCGAAATGTCTGTTCGGGTTCTCCGCCTGGGCTCCCTCTTGGGGCAGACCCGGGGGCCGTCTTGGGCTGTCTTTGAGGCTTGTGGGGCCATCTTGGGGCCATCTTGGGCCGTCTTCTTGAAGCCCTCTTGGGCCGTCCTGGGGCCATGTCGAGGGCCTCTTGGGCTGTCCTGGAGCGTCGGGAAGCCGAGCAGGTGAGAACGCCAACGTCCTGAACGAACCAACAGGAAATCAATGATTTTTGTGTCCTGGGGCCCTGCGGAGACGCTTCGTGGAGGCGTCTATAGGCGTCTTCGAGGCGTCTGCGGCCGCGTGGAGGCGATCTTGGGCGTCTTGGACCAATCGATCGGCGACTCGGAGCCCTCTTGGACCAGCTTGGGAGCCTCTTGAGGCCTTCATGGAGCGCTCTGAGGGTGCGGAAACCGCCCCGGGGAGTTCGGGCATCCTTGGGCAGACCTTGCCGGGAGTCTGCCAGAACCTTGCCGTGGTACTTTTCGTCTGGGGACCCCCGGGGGCCGCTCCGCGCGCGCGAACTAGAAATACGGTGGACCAGTTCCTGGAGATCTTAGCACGCCGCTTGCCCGTTGGGCCGGCGAATTTTTCATGTTCTACGGGGTTCTAGCCGCAGCCGACCGCGCGCACAGCGGCCAGGGGGCCTTCTCGGTCGGCAGCTACGTCGCACTCGTCGCCATAGTGAACAAGCACGGGGACGCGACGACGCAGATCTACCTCGGGCTGCTCTCGTTCAACCGCTCGGGGGCAGTGCTGCGCACGCTGCGCGACCTCCTCTGGCTGTCCGAGGACGAGCTCGAGCTCTACGGGGCCTCCTGCGCTGTGTGCCGGGCCCCCCAGCACGAGGGCGCCGATCTGAACCTGAAGTCGGCGCCTCGCCGCAGGGAGGGCCTCCGCCGCGCTCCGTGCCCCGCGGCCGTGCAGAGCCCCGGCGGGCACACCCGGCAGTACTCTCCCAGGGCGGGCGACTCCGAGCCAGTCATCGCTCTGGACCGGGTGAGCTTCCAGTACCACCCCAGGCTGCCAATGGTCCTCAGCAGCTGCTCCGCCCAGGTTCAGCATCGTCCAGCCCATCCCCGCCCCCACCGGGCCGTGGTATCCCAGCCCCGCCAGCCACCCTCCTAGGCGGTAAGAGGCCCCGCGAGGCCCAAGGGAACCGGCGGCATATGTCCCCACCCAGGTGGGCAAGCCGGCTAGTGCTGGGATCTGTGAAACGATGCTCACAGGTGCCCCTGGGGCGCGCGTACGCGATCTGCGGGCCGCGCAACAGCGGCAAGCTCACGCTGCTGCGGGTCCTCAGCCACGGCCTCGCGCCCACGAGCGGCAGCGTCGCCTTGCCCGCGCCCCTGCGGGTGTCGCTGCTGGACGGCACTGCCAACTTCATACCTGGGCTGTCGGTGGTGGACAACATGAAGCTCGGAATTCTTTACGCTTCGCGTATCCCCACCAGCCCATCTCTCAACAGCAACTCTTGCGAAGCGTGCCGACAGTCGTGTTTTTCAGGCGTGTTTCCGCCTGCCCCCGCATATCTCCCCTGTTACTCCTTCCTCCCGCCTCCTTGTACATCCTCCTTGTGGGGGGAGCGGGAGAAGGACGAGGCGGAGGAGGAGGGAGAGAAAGCGCGCCTCGTGGTTTGAGTCGTTTGTGGTTTCTCGTCCTGGTGTGAGTCGTTCGGGCCCTTCTTCCTGGTGTGAGTCGTTCGGGCTCTTCGTGGTGTGAGTCGTTCGGGCTCTTCGTCCTGGTGTGAGTCGTTCGGGCTTCTCGTGGTGTGAGTTGTTCGGGCCCCTCGTCCTGGTGTGAGTCGTTCGGGCCCCTCCTCCTGGTGTGACTCGTTCGGGCTCCTCGTGGTGTGAGTCGTTCGGGGCCCTCGTCGTGGTGTGAGTCGTTCGGGCTCCTCGTGGTGGCTTGTATAAGCGCTGCCCCTCCTCCTGGTGTGACTCGTTCGGGCTCCTCGTGGTGTGAGTCGTTCGAGGCCCGCGTCGTGGTGTGAGTCGTTCGGGCTCCTCGTGGTGTGAGTCGTTCGGGCGCCTCGTCCTGGTGTAAGTCGTTCGGGAACCTCCTTGTGGTGTGAGTCGTTCGGGCTCTTCGTGGTGTGAGTCGTTCGGGCCCCTCGCCCTGGTGTGAGTCGTTCGGGCTCCTCGTGGGGCCTCTTGGGGGCCTCTTGGAGCCTCTTGGGGCCTCTTGGGGGCCTCTTGGGGACCTCTTGGGGGCCTCTTGGGGGCTCTGGGGGCCTCGTGGGGGCCTCTTGGGAGCCTGTTGGGGGCCTCTGGGGGCCTCTTGGGGGCCTCTTGGGGGCCTCTTGGAGGCCTCTTGGGAGCCTCCTGGGGGCATCTTGGGGCCTCTTGCGACCTCCTCAGAAGCGCAAATGAGCGCTACCCCCTGAGAAAGACAAAATGAGCCCAAAACCTTCGTAAAATCAATGATTCTGAGAACAAGGAAGAGGAGCGCTGCCCCCTCAGAAGGCCAAAATGGGGCCCAAACCGTAGTAAAATCAATGATTTTGGCGTCACAGAAGAGGAGAGGGTCTTTTCTCTATCCCCCCGTCGGGGCGAGAATCCTCGTGAGGGTCGTCGTTTTTTGGCCCTCCCAGGCGTCGAAAAGGACCCCCCTGACCACCCGCGGGGCGCCCTCTCCAGGTCCAGGGGGAGGGGGTAGGGGGAGGGGTAAACCCCTCCCCGAAGGGGAAGAAGGGAGGTTGAGGACAGAGAGGGCTCCCTAAACCACTCACGCCCAAAGGGCTGGTGGGATTCTTAGCGTCGTGTCCGACGACGACCTGAGTGTGCTGTGCAGGGCGCTGCCGCTGTACGGCTTCTCGCCAAGCGGAGGCCCGCAGGCCGATGCGCTGCGGGGGCCTACCACGTGCTGCACGTCGTTCGGCGCGTTTTACCAGCGCGACGGCAGCACGGGCAGCGTGACGGAGCCGGCGGAGCTCGTACCTCACCTGACGGCCCGCGAGCAGTTCACCATGCAGCTGGCTCGTGCTCTGCTTCGCGACGCCGATCTGCTGCTGGTGAACTTCCGGGAGATGCCAGAGGACGAGTGGACGGCTCGGCTGTACCTCATCCTCTGCGTGTGGCAGCTCGCGGGCGGGTTCGTCGGGCTCGTGCGGGAGCTGCGATCCCTGGAGGCTGCAGAGTCCCAGGGATCGCTGGAGCAGCACTCTGGCGAGGATGAGGAGCCGGGAATCTCGAGGGCGGCCTCAGCGCCGTCGTGGAGATCGAGGCCGGCCGCAGCGCCGTCGTGCTTCCCGAGCGCACCCTTGCGGCACGGCAGGCCCTTCCCATCAGCCAGGCTCGCCTCTGGCAGGCCCGCCCGGGCCTGCATCGCGCCGAGCGACGGTTCCTTTGACAGCTTCCCCTCCGGGAGGGCTGGCCAGGACTCGGACAGGATAGAGGAGCAACAAACGGCACGATCAGAAATTTTCGGAGCTCCGCGCGGATTTCTTGGACCAGCGTTGGGCTCCCTCCCTGGCGCGCGGAGCGCGCCAGGGGCGGCGCCAGATGCGCCGCCAGTTGGGCCCAGCGCCGATCTAAGAAATCCGTGCGGAGCTCCAGAACTTTCACCAAACAGTGCTTGCATTTAGGGCTTCTCGCTTCTGCTCTACGGAACTGGACCTGTCTGCCGCTCTGGCGGCTATGTTGCCGCCGTCGCCGCCTCGTCGCCGCCTCGTCGCCTCTTCGTCGCCGCCTGTCGTCTGGGCCTGTCTGCCGCTCTGGCGGCTATGTCGCCGCCTCGTCGCCGCCCGTCGTCTGGGCCTGTCTGCCGTTCTGGCGGCCATGTTGCCGCCGTCGCCGCCCTGTCGCCGCGTCGCCGCCAGTCGTCTGGGCCTGTCTGCCGTTTTGGCGGCTATGCTGCCACCGTCGCCGCCCCGTCGCCGCCTCATCGCCACCCCGTCGCCGCCTAGACTGCACAATATATGACATCTCCCCGAACGGTTTATGCCCCCAGGGAACGCCCCATGAAACGTCCAGCCGTCCGTGGACTCCGTAGTCGTCTTGGTTGAGGGAGGGAACGAGAGGTACTCGTCGTGGCGCTGCCAGCGGCGGCCCCGAGGCCGCTGGTCGCTGTGTGGCGCGGCCCTCCGCTGGTGCCTGGCCCTCCTCAGGCACCAGCCCGCGATGTGCTGCGCGTGAGCGCATGGAGGCCGCCGCCGCGCCTGCTGCTCCTCGCCCGGTCGGGCTATAGATCCACTCCGAGCTGGACCTCGAAGGGCCGCACAGCCTGGTGCTGGAGCCGGGCGATCTGGTCCAGGTCGGTGTGCTGGACTCGGACTGGAACTCGCAGGGCTCGGAGGTCGTCCGCCTTGCGGCCGCGCCGATCTCGGACGACGGGGGGCTGCTCTTCGAGTTCGAGAGCCTGGGGGCGTCGGATGCGTACTTCGAGTGGTGCGCCCGCTCCCGCGGGACGAACGGCGCGCGTCCCGAGCGCGCCGTGCTCCACGTGTGCGCGGTGGCGGCGAGGACGTGCCAGGTCACCGCCCCCGAGGGCTGGTCGGTGGAGCACGTCAACCTCGTGCGGCCGATCTCCGGGGAGGAGGCGGAGGGAGGCCCTGCTGCGCAGCTGGGGGTGCCAGCGGCTGCCCGAGGACGAGGCCTCGATCCGCGGGAGAGCTGCTGCGCCCGGAGGGGTGGCCCGGCCGCGGGCCCCTGCCCTCAGGCCTGCCCGGCGGCCGGCTGCTGCGGCCCCGCCGCCGGTCGACGACCTGTGGAGCATCGGCGACGAGGACGACGCCTTCGCGTCCGAGGAGGACGAGGCAGGTGGACCACAGGCAGAGCCGCCGCGGCGCCGGGCGCCGCTGCCACCGCCGGTGCCGCCGCGGGCCGCGCGGCCGCGGGCGGCGTTGGTGCCGGCTCACCGCGAAGCCCCGGCCGAGGATCGGCTGCGCTCGAGGAGCGCCGAGCGCGGCAGGGCTGGTGTTGCTGTCGACCCGCTGGATGAGGCCATGCAGGGCCTCGAAAAGGGCTCGGGCGACGGTGGCAGGACGGCGCAGCTGCTGCGCGATCGCGGGGGTGGCGGGGCGGAGAGGCAGCTTGCCGAGGCCCCTGCGACGCGTGGCAGCCAGGACGCCCAGGCGGTGTTGGCTGCGCGCGCTGCCGAGCGAGCCGCCGCGGGGCGCCCTGCCCGCGATCGAGGCTCGCGGGGCTCGTTCGAGCGGCAGCTGTGCGACCGACTGCTGGGGCGCAGGAGCCTTGAAGCTGTCATCTCCACGGCTCGCGCACACATCCCGCCCTCCCACCCGCAGCTTGGTCGCAAGACCTCTTAAGACAGTGACGGTGGGTACCGCGTGGCACTTTGCAACGACAGCGACGCCGACGACGACGGCGACAACGACGACGACGACGCTGCCGACGCCGACTGCGACGACGACGACGACGTTTCCGACGACTTCGACGACGACAACGACGACGATGCCGACGACGGCGACACCGACGACGACGACGACGCCGACGCCGACGACGACGATGGCAACGCCGACGACGACGCCGACGACGACGACGCCGACGACGGCGCCGACGCCGACGACGACGAAAACGACGACGACGACGACGTTGCCGACGAAGACGACGACGAGGGAGGAGGGAGCACGACGACGGCGACAACGACGACAACGACGAGAGAGAAAGGACGGCGACGACGCGAACGACGAAGACGGAGGGAGGACGGCGACGCCGACGACGACAACGACGAGGGAGGAGGGAAGACGACGACGACGACGACGGCGGCGACGAAATAGGGGGGACGACGACGACGCCGACGACGGACGACGACGACGACGACGACGAGGGAGAAGGAAGGACAACCGCGGCGACAACGACGACGAAAACGACGACGACGACGCCAAACAGGACGACGACGACGCCGATGACGAGGAAAGACAGAGGACGACGACGGCGACGACGACGAGGGAGGAAGGAGGACGGCGACGACGTCGACGACGACAACGAAAGAGCGCGCGCGCACGCTTTTGTTGAAAACCCGTGTTACGAAAACCCTGTGTTTTCGAATGTTTCTTGGACGCTCGATTTGAGGTTTTTGAAGGATTTTGGCATGCGCGCGACGACGCGCGCGCGTGCGCTTCGTTTCATTAGTGGCAAAGGATTCTCGCGACGGTGCGCGCGCAAGGGCGTTCGAACGATTTCGGCATGCGCGCGCGAGAAGCCCGTTTGGTAATATTTGTTGAAAATCTTGAACAAGTAGCTTTTTTCCTATGATTTCGCAAGAGCGCGCGTGTAAGCCTTTTTAGAAAATCAGTGTTGCGAAACCCTGTGACTTTGCATATTTTGAAACTCGATTTTAAAATCCTTCCGAAACCGAAGCTTTTCAAAGCATGTCGGCACTCACGCGCGACAGCGCGCGCGTGTGCACTTCGTCCCGTTTTTTGTAAGGGATTCTTGAATATGTATGATTTTTGATAAACGAGTGTGCGCGCATAATATTGTTGCAGAGGACGGCGAAGGGTCGATGCCGGCCCGGCTGGGATAGTCTGACTTCACAGGTAGGGTGGACACTGGGTCAGAATCCTATGTGTTTTGCATCGGTTCCCGGGGGATCTATAACCGGGGGGGAGGGTGGTAGAACCTGTTTTCTTTTCAGACTTGGCATCGACACCGACGCCTACGACGACGGCGACAACGACGACGACGCCGCCGACAACGACTACGACGACACCGACGACGTCTCCAACGACTTCGACGACGACGACGACAACGACGACGACGACAACACCGACGACGACGACGCCGATGCTGCTGACGACGACGATGACAACGCCGACGATGACGCCCGCGCCGCCGCCGACGACGACAACGACGACGACGGCGACGAAACAGGAGCGACAACGGCGAAACGCCGACGAAGACGACGGTGGAGGAAGGACGACCACGGCGACAACGACGACGCCGACGACGACGACGACGAGGGAGGAGGGAAAACGGCGACGACGACGACGCAAAAGCGCGCGCGCACGGTTTGGTTGAAAATCCGTGTCGCGAAACCTTCTGTTTGTTTATATTTTTTGTGACTTTCGATTTTGGAATCCTTCCGGAACCGGCGGTTTTTTATAAAAGAGAGCGCGCGCATAGTATTTGTTGCAGAGGATGGCGGGGGGGAGTGATATCGGCCTTGCTGGGATAGTATGAATTCATATTTAAGATGGACGAGTGTGCAGAATAAATATGAAATCGCAATACCCCCGCGGGGACCGTTAACTCGGGTGGGGGGTAGAGTCGATTCTTCCTTCAGAGAGGAGAATTAATTAATGTTCGCGGTGAGTTGTCCACTCCGCTGCTCGCGCAAACATCCCACCTAACCCACCCGCAACTTGGTTTGCAAACCTCATGCGGCGGCGATTTCGATGAGTGCTTGGCGCTGGCTGGTGCATCTCTGCGGCCGCGCCAGCCCGCGCATGCGCGCGCGCAGCGGCCAGGTAGTTCGGCGCGACCGACGCGGCCGCTGTGGTGCTGACCGTTCGGCACATGCCAGCGGGCATTTGAGTGCGAGTCGGCGACTTGGGCGGGTGCGATATCATGGCGACGTCGACAGTTTTAGACACGAGGATGATGATAGTAGCGATGTTGGTGACGATGCTGACAGCGACGACGGCGCGGCCAGTGACGGCGCCGATGCCGATCACGCCGACGACGATGACGGCGTCTTCGTGTCGGTGATGAAGGTTTTGGAAGGAATTCGAAGCGCGCGCGCGGCAGACGCGCGAGAGTTGCTCGCATGGTATCATGTGACACGGACCGTGCTACCCCAGCACGCGCGCGAGGGCGTTCGAACGAACGATTTCGACATGCGCGCGCGAAGCCCGCTTGGTAGCATTTTATGAACATGTTGAAACACATATGGTCTTCTTGAGAATTCGCAAGTGCGCGCGCTTTTGTTGAACATCCGTGTTGCGAAACCCTGTGTTTGTAATTTTTTAGGACACTCGATTTTGCAATCCTTCCGAACTCGGAGGTTCGTGAAGGATTTCGGTATGCGCGCGCGACGACGCGCCATGCGCGCGCGAAGCCCGTTTGGTAGTATTTTTTATGAGGGATATAAAAGTTAAAATGTTTGAAAACAAAATTATAGATATTAGCATTAAACATAAAAGTAAACTGTTTTGTATATACAAATTCATGAAACACGTGTTTTTGTTGCTGGCTTTCCTTAGGAAATCGCAAGAGCGCGCGCTCATTCCCCCCCCCGTGTTGCGAAACCTGGTGTTTTAAACATGTTTTTTGGATTCTCGAATTTGAATCTTTCTGAAACCGCAGGTTTTGAAGGATTTCGGCATTCGCGCGCGACGACGCGCGCGTGTGATTTTTGATAAACGA